GCGCCGCCGGCCATTGTGGTCCTTAAACCGCGAAATTTTCGGAGCAGGCGACAGACAGATTTCTGCTGTCTGCAAAGCCATTGTGGTCCAGTAACTGCAAAATTTTTGACGAATGTCTGCAAAGCTGGGGCCGTGTAGCGGCGGTCGAAGCGGGATATAAAATAAATGAAGGCGAAGATTATATAATATATATATATAATATATTTATAGTCAGAACTTCACGGCGACACGAAGGGTACAGGCATTGAAACCAAGGCGACCTGCAAGCGAGGTTTTGTTTTGTCATATTTTAATAATGTCGTTCAATTCTCCACGGTGCAACGGATTAAAGAGTTCTCGTCTGCACCTAGCCTTTATGCCGAATTGTTGTATACATGTAGATGTGGATGAGTTCGATGAACAGACCGTCTGTTCGATCCCTGATGCACACAGTGATGTGAGGGGCTGCTCTGTGCGGTGGTTCCATGATTTATGGATTTACAGGAGTGACCAATTTTGAACAATTAGCCAAAAACAATTTTTGACTGGTTATGAAATGACTTTTTTGGGACTCAATCGAGTGGTATTTTCATGGGAATTTTATTTATTGCTGTAGTTTTTTTATGGAAAATAATTGCAGTTCCTTTTCGTATGTGGGCCCCACCTGATGCATACGAGGGTTCTGGGAACGAAAGAAAGAAAGAAAGAAAAGAATTCTCATGTAGACATTGTCGAGTTATACAAGTGTCTTTTTTCTTTTTTCTTTTTTTTTCTTTTTTTTTTAGTAATAGTGGTTACTGGTTGGTGCTATTTTTGACCGCTTCACATTTCCACTGAGTACCCCTGTCCAGCCTCCTCTTCATGAAGTGTATGTGACTCCTCCTCAGTGAGATTTGGCTTCGCTTTGTGCGTGAAAAACATCCTCCAGGTTTGTTTGGTTTATTTTTTTTTTGAAGAAAAAAAATACAGTCTGTTTTCTCCTCAGATGGGGAAAAGCTGTGATCTTTTGCTATCCTACTTTGTTCTCTCAAATTTTCTCGTATCTAACTCTCTACCTCCCCTCTATGCTACCTTCTTCCCCCGAACATAACACATATGTGGTGCGTTCTATTCGAATACAACACATATGCTTTCTATTCGAATAGCCCTAAATTTTGAATACAACGCATATATGCGTTCTATTCGGGTTTTTTTTTTCAAATTTTGAAACTCGAATACAATGCAATATATGCAATATGTCTTGTTCGGGGGAAGAAGGTAGCCAACCCGGCACAACACACCAAGGCAACCAAGCACAGACAACGGGCCAGGAGACAATATACCAGGGGAACACAGGACCTTAAATTCACTAGCTAAGCCTACCGTCTTCACCCGAATAGAACGCCCGGTCATTATAGCTGCATTTGGCCCAACTTTCAGTCCAGGTGCAGCCATAATGACCGGGCGTTGTATTCGGGTGAAGACGGTAGGCTATATCCCGAGGTTATGAGAAAGTTGGCTTGGGCCCTCCTGGTTTGTTAGTAGGTAGGTGTTAGGATCCAGAACATCCCCCAGTTTTTGTTCTTCTCAAAATTTCAAATTAACATCAATGCGAGGCAGAAAGGCCGCATCGCATACTGATGGGCGATAGCTTGTCTTGGCATGCCATGCACATCTTTGAAATGTACCAGGCTTCACTGATGTCCGCGTGATGGGAGATACAGGGCTCATAGCACTGATAGCAGACTGCAACTGCTACCGTCTTCACCTGGGTGAATAGAACGCCCGGTCATTATCGCTGCATCTGGACTGAAAAATGCCCCAAATACAGCTATAATGATCGGGCGTTCTATGCGGGTGAAGATGGTAGTTTTACTATGCCCTCGGTATTGCTTCTTCTCCAGTGGCAAGTCGCAGAAGTTATTTCAAAAAAGAAAACATGATTTGGAAATGTTGCATATTGAATATTAAGTATGTCACTTCAACCACCGGTACTTTTATGTTGAGTATTCTTTTTGTCAAAATTTTGGGCCCATATATCGGTCATGGCCCTTGTCCTATACGCACCGCAACTTTTTGGGGCTTTCGCGGCCGTTGATAAATTCCGTGGATGGTCCGCACCGGGTCGTTCTTTGGCGCGCAGGAGGATTTTAGGGTTGGCATCGATAGCTGGGCAAAGTACTGGTGGTTTGATCAGTGAATATGGTATTTGTATTTTTGCATTTACTCCTTCACAACGGTGGATTCTCCAGTTGCCCGACCGGACGCCTTTGAATCTATGTATAAATTTTTGCATCGTAGTGGCTTAGAGACACCTACCCGGTGATTCTGAGTCAGATATATCGGTCATGGCCCTTGTCGTATACACACTGCAACTTTTGGGGCTTTCGCGGCCGTTGATAAATTCCGTGGATGGTCCCGAATATAACGCCTGGTCATTATGGCTGCATTTGGCCCAACTTTCAGTCCAGACTCCAGATGCAGCGATAATGACCGGGAGTTCTATTCGGGTGAAGACGGTAGCTTCACTGCACTGGTTCTTTTGAGATGCGCACGTGGTGCAACATCAGCTTTTCAATATTCTCTTTGGGTTTTGCGCTTCTGCGCTTTTGTGCTTTTGTGCTTTTGTGCTTTTGTTTTTGCAGGCGAGGGGTTACCTTATTTATTTGTTTCTGATCCACCAATCATCAAGTGCTTGGCAGCCGTAGGAACGGTGCTGAACATCTGTAGAATGGATTACTACAACTGTATGATAAACGAATGCGATGCCGGCTATCGGCGGAAGCAAGGCAACAATCACGTGTTTAAGGTAAGCATACTTCCCCCCGTCCACTGCACCCCTGTAATTGTGGGAGAGGACACATCCTTCCGTTCGATTCAGCGAGATTTGGATTGGTGCTTGGAAGGCCATGAATGCCAAATGACTTGAAATGAGCTTCCTCTCTTTACACAGTGTACCCGCCGCTGTGACGAAGTTAACACGGCAATTGCAGAATCTTTGTATCTGCTAGTGTGCAGAGCTTCTTTTCTTTCCTTTTTCTTTTTTTTTTTTCTTTTTTTTTTTTTTTTTTCGAGGGAGGGGGGGAAGGGGGGGAAGGGGGCAGTGGTGCAACAAGGACAGTAATTTTTACGAAACCAATATCGGTATTTAGATCTTTGACGATTTTTTTTTTATCTTTTTTTCTAC